CGCCACGCACGGCAAACACGTGGGTGGATGTTTAGATCCCAGAGAAAGTAACTGTAAATACAGAATCTTCCCTGGGGGATCCCTTCACCATGTACAAGAATCCACGTCGAGGGGAACTGTCTGGTAGAAGACTGGGAAAGGTAAGTGGCCAGAGTCAACAGATAAGAGTGGAGACAGGTCATATCCACCCTAGATGCCATGAAATCTGGAATATCTGCAAAAATTGATTGTCTGAGAAAAGGAGCTTTTCTGAGATCTCTAAGGGGTGAAGAAGGAAGTCAAACTCCCTCAAGCAAGACATCTTTCTCTCTCTCCAAATGATCCCAGCAACAAACCAGCCAAGAGACCAAGGAGAGAGAAGAAGCCAATAACCTTACCAAAGTAGAAGTCAATAAATGACTTAGATCCTCTAAAAATCGAGTAGGTGACCTTTGATAGGCCTCATAAACAGGTGCAAAGAAGAAAAAATAGGCAAAACTGTTGTAATGGACAGATAAATTCAGGAAAACTGAGTTTGGTTAAGATGAACACTGGCATTAGACCTAGAACCCCAAATAGGAAGAAGAGGGCCTAACCTATGAGAATCCAAATATGGGTTCTCCAGGTGATGGAAAGCTAAGGCATGCTGATCCAATAAATAGGGAGGACAAGGTATGGCAGCACCCTCTCTCAATTGATCAGCACATCTCCTCGTATGCACAGCAATATCTGGCAAAGGTGGAAAGACCAAGTAATCAGCTGAATGATTTTTCCCCCAACAAAGAAGAAGAGCCATAAGCTACAGGAGAAATGCTCAAGACATTACAAACTTGATGAACTAGTTGCAAAAAATGGTGCAGGAGGAGGGATGTTCATCCTAAGCTCATGATTAGTTGTTTGAGTAAAGGAAGATGCAGAAAAAATAGAGTCCAAATTATCACCGGTCCACTCCTGATCCCCTGCAAGCTCAGCCTCTGAGCTGACAGGACAAAAAACATCAGATCTAATGTAAGACTCCACCATTCTACATATGCGGGACTAGGCGTCCTCCATGGAAAGCTGCTACCCCCACCCCTCAATGCCCGGGTAACACTAGACTGCAGAGGTGGCAGAGTAGGAGCACTAGACAACTCTGTGTCAGAAACGTGAGTTTGTAAATTCATATCTGAAAATGCTCAGAAATAATTCTTTTCCTAATGTAAAATAAGTAATATAGACAACAAACTCAAGATCCAATAAGACAGGTCTAAAAAAACAAAAGAAATCATCTAAAATGTAGGTATAAATAAAGCTATTCAACACTGAAGAGAAATCTGCAGCAAGCAAGTAAAACTGTCCTTGTAAAGTTCTGCCATAGAGAAAAAGTGAATAGGAAGTAATAATGAACTTATATGTGGATATAGGATAGGGGGCATTGACGTAGGTGGGGATAATCACAGTGGGGTATAAAGGCTGGAGCAAGCGGGGCAATATTCATACCAACATGCCATGAGCAAAAAATGAGTATTTTAAATTTTTATTCAGTCTGCTAAACACTAGATTGTCAAAATTTTATACACTCCCTATAAACGTGTAAGTAGAAAATACTGAAATTATGCCTAACAAACTATAGCTTATTAGATGATACCTGTTTGTCCAAACTCCATATAAAAGTTCAACAAATGCAAAGGATAGATTCAGCAAAAGAAACAAAAACAAGTTTCTAGAGTTCTTGTCAGCAAATATCAACCTATAACAAAGAAAAAACATTATAGCCAGTTTCTCAGTTTACTTTACATAAGCTATGCATGACATTATCATTTACAATAACAATAACAGCTCAGAGCAATGAAAAATATTTAGTTTGTTTTAGACATTATAAATGTATTAATACAAACTCTCAACCAAGGTGTCAAGATTATTATTTTAATATCTGGGCTCAAGCATATACTATATATGATGATTCATTGCTGATATTACTGCTAGTCATCATATGATAGGGTTATAAGAAATACAAGAACTATTTCCAAAACTCTTTTACTCTACTGCACTACTATTTTAGATGAAAATTCCACTTACAGATGGTAAAAAAGATAACATTCACACATTCACTCAATACAACTGATTACTTTTACAAGATGTTGTATACAGTTTGAAGTCTTACTGATAAGACAGACTTGGGCAGTTAACCCCTTCTGCATCAGTTTTTTTCAGAAATGAGCTCAAAAGAAAAGCAGGATTTTTTATTTTTCCATTTGATAGTCTATTGTATTACATGATAACATGTAAATAAATTTGAACAGATAATTAAAAATGCAATGAGAAATATTTTGCCCAAATTAAATTGGGCATATATTTTTTTGAAATAGGGAAGTGCCCGAGTTATCTCGGGCAAATCACGAGAGGTTAACTCTCTATAATAAATATTTTTTTATAAGAATGTTGAGAAATAAATTTTGTAGAAAAAAAAAAACTACCACACAAAAAAGTAACAATTAGAGATACAACTTATAAAACTCACTCTCTCTTAATAGCTTAAAGTAGTCTATCTCTAAAATATTTCCATATTGATATTCTCCCTATAATATTAAAAATATTAAATTTTCAGATTTCTATGTCAACATAACAATACATTCAATTTATGTCACTATTATCTCTTAAACTATTTAGTGTTAAAACTTAAAATACGAGAATATTTAATATTACTAATATTATTGTAAAATGTAATACTAATAATGGTTAATAGGTTCTTACTTGCAATTGATATTCATTCTATTAGAAGTTGTCAATTACAAAAATAAGTTATATTAATTCATTAGTTGGACACAGTTATTAAACTTAAAAGTTAAAGATCACATTATACACTAACCTTTTTGATTTTGAAAGTACGTGAAATGTTACCATTTAATATTAATAATAAGAAACATTAACAGAAGCTCAAGTTCACATACAAAAGCAAATTCAATTTTCAAATTCGACGTGAATTTATCATTGTATACATTTAAGTTATTCACCACACAGCACCATGCTGCTACAATGATTTTTTTTTTCTGTGATTAATTTAGTTTAATATTTCTACTTCAAAATCCTTACCTTAGCCACCCTCTAACTTTTTGTGAAATCCGAATACCTTTCGAGACTTTATACTCTTCATCACTCGCATGTAACGGTAACATTTAATATTATTTAGTATTTCTTATGTTATATTTAGATAAAGTTAACTAAACTTGGCGTTAGCCTTAAACTACCCAAATTAATTGAAAACTAAAAATCAAAACTTCGAGTTAAAGAAAAGAGCCTAAATTTATCCAATAAAGAATTTAACAAAATAACACCCGGCAATGCTAATACTTTAACACATTGTACAACGTATGTGTAATTCTAATTACTATCATTCGTCCATGTGGCACAAACTTTTACATCCCATAATTCCCGACAGACTGTTGTTGAAGTCACTACCACTCCGAAACAACTAATAAAACTTGATTTTCTAAAGTAAAATTTGTAAACAATGGTATATTACAGTGTTAGCTACCAAAACAAAATACGACATATATTACGAAAAAAAATCTATGTGTTTACCTCTGAAGATGCAAGTTGTACGAAATAATCGAAATAATGAGAATATTTTTCCTAAGATAGCATTTAAAAAACGAGCATAATTATATAAGGTTGTGAATGTAAAACCATATAAAAGACTTAACAATTTAAAATTTGTAGTTACTAAACTGCTAAAAAAAAACCACTGAAATAATTCTTTTTTCTTCTGAAGTTAAATCAAGACAAATGGTGTTTAGCTTGGTATATATTTATTTATTTTTGAAATGAAAGAAAATATATCACTATCATATATAAAGTACTGTAAATAATTATAGAACGCACAAGTGGTTGTACATACAGGAGTTATACACAATGAGTAATTGCAAATAAATGATTAAATTATCATTAGTACAACACATTATTTCAGAAAATACAAACGAAAAACGGATAAATTGTATAATGCATCAGCATTTTGTATTTGTTTTAAACATAGCAGTTGTGTTTATGCTTCCATAATATGAATGTAATTATTGTTCCAAACGTTCTGTATTCCTGTTATTGTTTGTTACACAAAGGGTTATCTGCCCACCACGGGTATCGAAACCCAGATTCTAGCAGTGTAAGTCCGCAGACATACCGGTGTGCCACTGGGGGCTCTGTATTCCTAGTGGGGAATAAGTTAGCAAATTGGATAGAAGAGTGGCTGGATGGAAGAAATCAGAAGAGGGTTGTTATAAATGAAGTTCAGTCAAACTGGATTAATGTTACAAGCGGGGTACTTCGGGGCTCAGTCTTACGACCTTGGCTCTTTTTGATTTACATCAATTACATAGATGAAGGAATGGTCAATAGATTACTTAAATTTGCAGATGATATTAAGGTCTTGGGTGCTGCTAGCTGTGAAGAGGATGCTACTGATTTATGAAAGGATTTAGATCATTTAGTGAGTTGGGCGAATCAATGGCAAATGGGTATAAATTATAAAAAAT